GCTCTACACACTGGATCTGGGCATTTATCAGCCAGAGCCTCCTGCACTCTGTTACCTCTCCAGACCTCCCGTTTCTGAACTTGATGAGTCAAAGGTCAGGGAAACAACAGGTCAATTCGCAGCCAAGAGGAGCGCAGTGCAGCTGAGAGAGCTGTGAAGAGGACTAAGCCTCTCTGTGGCGCGCTGTGATTTAGATTGTAATAGTTTTCTGTAATCTCTTTCTATTGATTAAACCTCACATCAAAGAGGGGTCCTGCTGCAGAACCTCTCTTTTCCTGGTCAGAAATACCATATGGAGGTAATCTTTCACCGTTGTTATTGTTGCTGCTCCCGCTGCTGCTGCGAGCCGCTCTTCCAGGGCGAGAGAGAGGGGAAAAGGAGAGCAAGAGAAAACAAACCCAGCACATCTGATTAGCACTGAGATCTCCCGACCAGCTATGGCAAAAAACAAAATGACAGCATACTTATCTTTTTAGAGTTTACTTTTCTTTATCTGCCCCTGACATGCTGGGCACAATTCAGAAGAGGTGTGGAAAAAAGGAAATGTCGAAGAACAAACCAGTGTGATCTTTTGCAGATTGCTAGTGTCAAACATAATGAGAGAGAAAAAACAAAACGGATAAAAGGGCACAGAATTCTAGCAGTTTTAGCAATATCTCACATTCAGCTCATTGAAATGCAAAACCAAGAGAAAGTGAAAAAACAAACCCCTCCTGCTAAAAACACTCAATTTACTGACAAGCAAATGACTTCATGCTGCCACTTAATCTCATTTCTTGCATAATGCCCTCTAATTAGCATATCAAAGTGAATTAATACTTCTAGGGTATTAGCAATGAGGAAATCTGCTCTAGGTCTACAATAAGAACACTACAAACAGCCTTGCATTGCAAAACCCATCTGTCTGTTTCCCAGTCAAGTGCATCTCTCTCGCTTTCCCAACCACACAACACGGGCTACTGACCCAAGTGGAAAAATAGATTTAACTTAACCCCCTGCCCTTGCCGCCATGCACCGAGGTCCCTGGTGAGTTTCTGAGATTCTAAGTGGGAGGCATACATACATTTAAAAAAATCTCCACACAGGTTGAAATGGCTGTCGTATTTCTAACATACATATTCATGTAAAGATTCTAGATACATATCATGTACTGTTTCACATCTTTCCACTGGAGCTGTTCAAGAGAGCCTTGATACAACTACTCTGCTTTTCTACCAAAAATACATTTTCTGCACAGTTTTGAAGCACATACTGTAAACATCAAATAATTACAGCCGTGTTTGTTTGTTGCACTGCTGTCAAATCCATGGTTGGAAATTATTTTCACCGGATGGGATCATTGCATGGTTAAATGACATTGGGATTGTGTGCCACTTGAACAGACATGAAAGGGGCAAAGAATCACAGGGACATGTGAATGGCCCACAGTGGGAGAGAAAAACAACCCAGTCAAGAAGGCCACCAGACCAGCTGAGCTCTGTCAATGGCTGAAAGGGGGGAGGCTATGACTCCAAACCACATGTTAACCACACGCACACTCACACAGATACACACTCACACAGACACACACACAGATACACACACACTCAAGACAGATACACACATCATCCATTGACTCTTTAAACAGATGTAAATACAAGTATGTTTGCTGTCATTGTTTACATGGCTACATTACAAACACTTCAGGTTTGATTTAGCCTGTTTTTATTTATGCTTAGTACAGTGTGATCCAAGAATAATAATGAGCATTTTATATTTCCAAACATCTCTCTCTCCTTTGATTTACGACAAAATATCTTATCAAACTTGTGTCATGCATACATGTTCATTGTACAGGTACTAATTGCATTGAATTGTATTATGTAACTATTGATAAAGTATAATCAAATGAAGGCCCTGGAGTATCTGGTTACAATGAGATCAATAATGTCCACATGTCAAATGTTTTCATACATATAAGATATAGACAAAACTGCAAACAAGCAAAACACACACACACACACACACCTAGAATTTTGAGGCACGTCTCAATTCAAAACAGAAAGTGGATTTAAATTCTTTAAAGTAAAAACAATAACTTTACAGCTACTTTCATACGCCAAACGGCACACAAAACACACACTGATCAGAGGGACTGAGATAGAGAAAATGTACCACCAGAAGCATTAGTACACAGCCATTTCTAAACTGAGTGCTCAAACAAAGTAGTACAGAAGAATATTGTTTAGTGGTTTAGTTATTGTGGAAAAATACATTGAAACATGGGCCATCAAAGGGATTAAAGAAGATTACAACAACTGAGCTGGTAAACAAGCTCATTTAAATAATTTGCATACTTGGAGACTCTATTCCTCCTGCATATTTAATTAGATCTTTAATGTAATATAAAATATAAATATGTAAAAAGTAATCCAATTTGTGCCTATGGAGATTTGAGTTCTACAGGTGGGGTTTAGATCTGAAAGTGTATAGGGAAACATACATATTGTGTGTGTGTTTATATTGATGCATGGATTCATCTATGATGCACACACAGAAGCATACAGTATATGCACAGTCGCTCACACACTATTACATAGACCTAAACCATCCAGTGATCATATTCTCCCTTTTTCTTACACGATCGCTCTCTCGCTTTCCCTCTTTCTTCTCGACAGGCATAAAAAATGCCTCAAGTAGGCTAGGCAGCCAAGCGGGCCCTTCTCCTGCCCCTGTGGACACCTCCTGTGGCCAAGAAGTTCATTAAGTTTTATGGTCTTCCCCAAGTCACTTCTGCTTATTATAAGCCACACAAAGGCCACAAATCTGGCAAGCCATCACTATTTTGAAGCAATAGCAAAAGTTGTTTTTTGTATGACAGGCCACTTTTCTTGTGTTTTCAAACAGGTTTAAGAGTTTACCGGTATTTGACAGCTGTCTTCACTCTTCTCTCTACGAACACCAATATACAAAACTTTGACCTGACCAGCATGTAGGGGAAAATGCCAAATGCTTACATCACTCTTGTAATCCTATGTATTGTCTCTTGTAGTCATTAACTATTGCAACTTTGCCACTGGTATCAAATATACCAAATATATCAAATATTCACTAGCAAGCGTAAGTATAATGCTCCTGGCAACAGCTTGATGTAGAATAAGAAATTTCCACAACTTGAAATCTTTAAAATGAAAATGACATTTTATATTAAATGTATTGAATAAAGTTTTAGGAAAATAGTTCAATATTTTGGACAAGAATAAGAGCCTCTGCCTATTACACTGAATAGGGTATTGCCCCAAAAAAATAAGCCATACACCCTTTAACAATAATAATTAATTGCAATATTTTGAATATTTTTCATATACACCTACAATACTGAAAACGTTTATTTGTATTTTACATTGCAGTGCAAACACATTTTTGTAATAGGTTTATATGTGAGAAGTTGACTAGCAGTAACCTCCTTTTGGCTCATCAACATTGTGAGAGGAATCCTATCCATGAAAAAGACCTTCTCCAATAGTGTGGGCATAAAATCCTTAGTATTTGGTGTCATATAAAAACGTTATATTATTTGTATTAGGTCCATACGATATGCGTCTGGCCTTGGAATGACTGTCTACCTGTCCTAACAAAAGCATCACATCATTGGCTGTAGCATGTGGTTTGTGGCTTCTTATGAGCATTCTCCTTTCACCAAAACCTACAGGGCCACTCGACCTTGAGCAAACAACAGAAATTAAAAGGCGCATTATGATAAAATTGTGTGCTATCAGTGTATCATATTTGATTTGCAGCATTTTCTGTGATGTCAGAATTGCATGGCATCACGACGCACAAGAAAGGTGCACAAGACAGGTTAACCCACTATTAATAACCTATTCGGTTTGTGGATTTATTATGGTTAGAATTTGAAAAAGGTGATCCTAAAGTCGCATGGTGCCACAATTGTCACTCACACGCTTGTGCATGCACAAACTCACTCACAGTGGACACACACACAATGTTGTTGTTTGGGGGGAGCTTATTTCATATTTTCGTGTTTTACGCATCATCTTGCAGAAGGCTACTAAGATGACCAAACAAATGTAATATATAAAAATAAAAAAACGTACAATAATTAAAATCTTCAATCATGTCCTACTTTCTAACAATATGTTAACCCTAATACAGTTACTCCTTTGTATGCTACCCATTTGTATTAGTAGGAAAGTCAAATTATGTGCACAGAGACTGGTTCTAAAGGCTGTGTCCACGCATGCTGGGCAATAATTTTTATGTGTTTTCTATTAGGCTATACAATGATGTTATATATACTTTAAACAGTTTCACTGCACTTAGCTTGTCACGTTAGAAACGTGTGACTTTATTGATCCAATGAATGCTGTATGTGCGTTACAGATGGCAACAATGGTTAGATAGACTAGCGCCAATAATGTCAATAGTGATCCTGTGGTCACCAAACCTCATTATGCAGGAGATTACAATGTAACTGACACATTTTTTAAATTAATTTAAATAGTGAAAACAGGGATAATGACTGTAGGCTATACTTTCAACGTTAATAAAAGACAATGACGCATAGTTCAGAAACAGCTCACATAATGCGCGTTCTGTGGTGTAGCCTAAAAACACCAAAGCATGTGAATGTCCTTTATTTGTGCGATACAGCGGAATGTGACGCACAGCGTAAACATGTGCAGGTTACCAGCTTGTCCATGCCACCCCGATGCAACCATCGAATAACAACCCTCTATCAATTTCTACGTGAGAGCACATATACCTTTTTGTGGGGTGCGGATGCTTCTCAACGGCTGAAACCATAACCTACATTTTCCCATTGCAAATTTGCTCCATTGCGGAGCTGATTCTGTCTCCCGCTTGATAACATCGGATAAGTCTGCCTAGGGGAGAATAAAGATGGCGGTGTGCAAATGCGTTGAGGCTCCGCAATGTTGCCTATTATTACAGTCCTCGTGTTGTTTAATCCTACACTTTAATGCATGTGAAATCTTACCTGTTTTCTCTTTGATCTCGCAGAGGACGCTGAAGAGAGCAGGTTTCATTCTGTGGCAGTTCAGTCCATGTTTCCTGTTTCAGTTTGAGACAAGAACCAACATTGAAATATAGTCACTATAACACCATAGTTGTTAAAACTTGTAAGAAATTACTCTGAATAATGTCCTTGCTCTTTACAATAACTTCGAGGTCTTGCTCACTTTGCACATGGAGGATCTGTAGTTAATGTTGACATGCATCTCAAAGTTGTAGCATACAGAGTGCTTTGTCAACACGAATGACAATGGATGCATTGTTTGTTGAAATACTAACTATTCGGTAAGACTTCAAAGTTAGTTTAAAAAAGTTTATTTGTTGAAAATTCACAATTGAAATTACTCAAGACTGTACATTCAAAATTATTACTAATGGAAAATAACGCCACGGAATTAAAATAGGATATTACCCAATGTTATTTTAAAATATCAGGAGTTACTGTGAAACACATTATTCTACAAGTACGCATCAATCAATGTTTACAGTAGCCCAGCCTACCAATACGCAACATTATATGTAAATGAAATATATAGCCTGCACTTTCCCCTAAAATTGTTTGTAGACCACACGAGCCAATGAAGCGTGTCAAAACTATTAGAATTACTGGATGACAGGTGTTAACTTTTTCATCTACATTGGCCCCTGCAACTAATTGACCATGGGTTTCAGGTATGGAGCAACATTTTATAGCCTAGCTACCTGTTATTACATGGATATTCATTAGCTATAGTGCGTAATGGTGCGTAAAGTGTTTTGTAGAGAAAACATGTAAATGAACCAACTTTGCTTGCGCCTCGTCCAGACTTTGGTCAGTAATGGTCATTATTTGATGCAGAATGTCACCGATATCTTGTTTTCGCCCATCATCTGTCCCATCGTGTCCATGTGGAGGCTGCAGTCCCATGCTTCCTTGTACGGAGTGGCCAGCCAAGCTGACACCGCCGAGAGCCTGCATGATCCGGGCTTGTTCGTCCATAGTCAGCCGCAACAGAATCAATGCACTAAGCCACACAAATGGAAACTTAGCTTGAAAAACTTACATACAAAAACTACTAGAACATGTGTTGCGTTAAGGAGCTGTATATTGGTGATATTGCGCTTACGCGTATAAGAAAAATAAATAGGTGAGTACCAGTGATGGTATCAATATCGCGTGTCCATGTAATCACTTTCTTACTATCTTCTTTCTTTAGGAACGGTCCGAAGTGTGTGTAGTTATGAATGTTTTTGTCCGAAAATGCATAAGCTATAATTCTTCAAAACTTCTTTGTCAAAATGACAGCCGCTGTCCCTCGTATCCTGCACGAGTCCTCTTGTCAATTCGTCTTTCTCGTTAGATTTGACGTGTTGGGTATTGCTGATCCTTGCTGATCTCTCATTTATTAGCAGTCTTCTTTTGATTATGTTTCTTTTTGCAATTCCTCTTGTAAATGTTCAAATCCCCATTATTGTCAGCAGGAAAAAATATCCAAAGTGAAATTAAGCAATGAGCAAGTGAATGAAAAAAAACAAAAAATTAAAAACAAAATACAACACTTAGGTAGTAAATGAGTACCTGCTACCTGTAAATGTATAGCAATTATTTCCAAGATAACTGAAAATTAAATAAATCATGAGCGGCATTGGTAGCCAAATACAATAATAAAAAATATGAAATGTAGAAAAAAGTTAATAGCGTTAGTGGAAAAATTATAGAAAAAAGAACAGCGAGAAATTAATTAGGCTACACGCTTTAAAGCGATGCGCAAAAATATCTGCCTGCTGAAATTTATGAGCCCGAGCCTCTGCCTGTGTGTGCTTTATGTTGTTTGATGGCAGCGGTAGTGAGCGATTGACAGTGTGCCAATGCCACTCACTCACTGCAGACGTGTCAGAGCAAAAAATACAAAATCGGAATAAAAATGCACGCTCCTCCCTTCAGAGGAGGGGTCTATATTCTTGTCACTTTTCTCTGGAACCCCGAAAATAAAATGCTAGAACTGTGCTTGAGATGGTTAGTATAATGATGAAATAACGTTGGAGTCCCACTTGTCGTATGCCTTACACGTGCACCAAAATGCCGTCATTCTCCACACATAATAAAAAATGTGAGTGTAACACACAAAATAAAATGCATATCAGAGTTTTATAGTTTGATACAGAACTGATAATGAATTGCACTGACTCTTCGCTTCTCAGGGCTATGGTATGTATGGTCGTCTCTACCAAGCCTTGCCTCATAGGGTAGGCAAGCAGTAGACATGTTTATAATATTGGAAGTAAACCTCTTCGACCAATCAACGCTGTGTTTGAATGCGACTGATGACCAGGGTGTCCTATTGCTGGCCGATGCATGGTCCTGAAAGCCCACCCACCACATCCCTTCATGTACTTGAACAAAAGGACAGAGAGGAAGAGGCAAAGCGAGAGGTTTCACTCTCCCCAAAATCTGTCAAAAATAAACCCAATGCGTTTCTATGGGCTTATTTTGAACCTAAGTTTGTCGCCTTCCTTCCCGCCTTTGGGACAATGACTCCCATTGTTAGGGCGGAGACTTGAGCATCTCTTCATTATATACAGATCTCTGAAAATGATATAAACTTCTGATTGGTCGTTGCTACGGGTGACATCCACTGCACAAGCAGGCTGCACTGCTCAGCGCTCCCCTGCAGTTGCTATGGCAGCAGACAAGTTGTTGAGCTGGATGCAAGGCTACAACCATAGAGCTCCTATTAAATAGTATTCTAGTAGTCTAATTCCTAATTCTAGGGCAACATTTAAGCATCATCTACCTACCCACCATTCATATAAGACAGGTTTTAATGAAATGTCACCATCATACAAATACTCCAGAATAGCAAGTGTGTGAAGAGTATCTCTGTGCAAACTTGTCGGAGAGCTCCACATGTTGGTGATGGTGTAGCTCACACAAACTGTGGTGGTGCAATATGAACCACGACACAACATTTAGTTATTATCTTAATTCATTGTAAGTATAACATTGACAGAATTAAAGAGGCTATACAGAATCTTTGCCTCTGGTGGTGTTTTTGAGCCAAAAGGAGTCCCCTAAATGGACAGATATTCTACAGAAATTACCTCATTAGACAAAAAGGGGCTCATCCATGCCCATGAGCAAAAGCCCTGTTAGCCTAAAAGAAAATATTATGTGGTTTCATTAGTTACGAAATTGATTTACTGTTTTGAGGTAAAACAGTAACTACATTTAGGTACAGCCTCTAATGAAAACTGAAGGGAACCCCTTTTGGCTCAACAGCATTCCCAGAGGCAAAAGTTATGTATAGCCTCTTTCATTCTGTCAAAACTCTTGAGATAAATTGCAAAATGTTTAAAAAACTTATATTGGACTATACAGTCATCAAAAAATACAAAGACAAAAGTGGTTTAGTGTTGTTTATCAGAAAGGAACACCAAGAGGTTTTGCATCACAAAAAAAATCAAGATTACAATCTAGCCTTTGGGAAAAGTCATACCACTGAGTGAACTACACTATACTATACACCACCCTGTGTACTGTGTACCTTCACAAAATTAATGAAATACATTCAAGAGAGGACTGAATCAAGAACCTCAAAGGTCTGAGTGTTGAGATCATGGCAAGCAGCTTCTACCAAGTGAACTGTGTGGTTCCGCTCCTTTCTTATTCACTTGACCTTGAAGTATCAACTCAACACACTCTTGAGTTTAGTGAATGGGAGTCCCAGGACTACTGCATTTATCATTGAAATACTGAGCTGTCAAGTCACACTGCATACCTGTCAAGGAGGGCTCAAAGGTACAGCTCGAGCTCCTCTCCTCTGTTGCAGTGCATGATTCTTCATTGCATTGCATACCATACCTTTTCACCATTGTTTTCAGTCATATGTCAACATAATTCATTTCCGTACTATGACAGCCCCCTGCAAAAAGACACCGTAGCATTACAAATTCACCACACTATGTTTACATAACCAGGCGTGCACTATTGTCATAAAATTATGTTTTCAATTCTGAAACCATATTATTAATATAAAATAAATTATTGATTCTACTTTTATTAATTTCCCTAATCATCTTCAGTAGAAAACCATTGCAAATAATAAAATTAATAAAAACACCTTCTAATGCATTTATAATGCCACTGCAGTTGATCTAAAAAGGAGTAAGACATAACCGAAAGTCAATTTTACTGTATACCTGGTATATATTTTTAGTTGATTTGGGTTAATTGAAACAAGCACCACTTCGATGAAGAAAAGTTGAACATTTGAAATTAATTATTGCTGTTATAGCTACACCACTTGAATCCATGGCAAAAAAACCTAAGCATTACATTGGATATGAGATAATCTGATCATTTATGATTTACCTTCTGTGGACTTTGTCGAGAATGGGCATGGTATTGGAGGAAAGGACGTATGGTATAACATTATATGTTTAATGCATGAGGACTTTAAATTACTGAGCCTCATCAACTCGTCATTACTAATGAAATGAGGACTTTTAAAGCAGAGCATGCTCGTCTGTTTGAACTACACATGAGTGTGCAGAGACAACAGTTTGTCATCTGTTCAAATTGATATTATGCTTTTCAATGTGACATCTGAAAAGACCCACAGGTGCCATAGAAAGCAGTGACTGTGTTGTCATATTTCATTTAGGCATCCTTCTGCAAAGCTGTAATTGCCTAATTAGCTTGTTAATTAGGAGATTAGCATTTACTGATAGAGTGGCTTGCTCTGTTGTGATGGGAGGGATACAGTTTAAGTGAGGAAGTTATGGGTGTCTGATTTTAGAAGGCTGTTGTCTGCAAGGGGTTAAGGGAATACTAAAGAGTTTTTTTAAAAGAAACACGAAAATTCTGTAAACCACCCAGTCCCGTTGAACACAAAACGAATGAATCAACAACATTTCCAAATGAATTGAAAATCCAAATGTTTGTGCATTAAAGCTGAGATCCGCGAAACAGCGTCACTGGCCATCCCACCCCCATTGTTATTGTTTTTGTTGCCGAGCTGAGGAGCATCATGCAGCATGGTAAAAAAAAATTGTGCTCTTCTATCGCACATGCAATGATGTCAGAGGGAAAACAACTGTGTTGTTTGTTGTTTGCAGTAACTTCTTTGTTGTTGTAATATCGCAAATGGACGTGGCAGTTTCACCATTAAGGATTGCAGCTTTAATATATCAAAATGAAATGAATTAACAATGTAGATCTTATTGTTATGACTTATATTTTGTATGTTCAATAGAACTAGAGCGGCTGGTAATGTGGCTACCTCTGACCGATGGTACTAAGGAGCGGTGAGATGGATCCTGGTCTGAGTGTCGCCTCTGTGATCCCCTTGTTGAGGGAGATTTGAGGAAATGACCAAGCAGACGGTGCCAGAGACATTACTAACCAAATTATGAACAGCCTTTCATTTGGTTTGTGTACTTTGTTTATTTATTTCCCGGCATTTGTTCAATGCTTGCACTTTGTCTTCATTATTGCTGCACATGTGAAACATGAGAGGTACTGTGACTGTTTGTTGCATCTGTTTATGTCTGTAGAGGGGTGAAGAAATACACATTCTGCCTGCTTTTGGCTTGACTTTTAGAATTTGTTGCTCATTTTTGCGATCATTTTGCATTTCAGAAATATCAAGCTATATACATTTTTATTGACAATGTGAGGTAAATATCTTATTTGCTTCAGGCTCTCAATTCATGCTTAATTTGTATGAAATACAACATGCAATAGATGTTTTGTGATTGTGTATTGAAATCTTGCCTGCATCGACTGTTCCAAAATGAATCTATGAAATGGTCTTATTCATACAAAGGGATAGACCAGCAAGCAGTGGTCGGGAGAGGTTGTGTTTTCTCTAGCAGGAGGTAAGCTTGGCTTCTTATATGGTGTTGAGTAAAGCTTAAACCATGTATTTAGATTGTAGGTAGGTAGTTGTAGTTAGGTATTGTAGGTCGTTTATTTAGGTAGTTATTGTAGGTTATTGT